TTGCCACAGAAAATATCTGCCAATTCTAACCATCTAGAAGGAAAATATATTCCTCTGTGTTGATTTAGTACTTTGGCTATATTGTAAATAATTTGAGGGTTATAAATAACTTATCCACTAGGCTATAAATCTCACTAAACAAAAAAGTACACAAGAAAGCACTCAAACAGCCTAGAGATCCACTATGACTTTTTTTTTCCAGTTCCACCTTACCACAAAATTACACCATTTCTATTATTTGTGATGAGCTGAGGACAAAAGAAGTGTTCAAATTCACCTTATTCTAACAATAAGGCAATGAAGCACAATGGAAAGCTGAATTCTAACTGTAAATGTTTTTTTGCAACATAACATTTTCAAATCTGCTTAAATCCAGAGAGATTTTTTATTACACAATTCGATTTTTACATCAATAAAATCTTAGGTATATAACAATACAGATGAAGGAACAAGAATTTAATTTGTATTGAAATAAATATTAGATATACAAAGCACACAGAGTGAAAAAGGGTCACAATAAATTAAATTGGAGACATCATTTTGTTCAATCACCAAAGAAAGCCCTTGACACTTTCAATTTCACACCATCAAATTTATCATTCTTGCTGATTTAAGCAGAACACAAAACAAATATGGATCCCAGGGCTTACTTTCACAGGTACCAGCATAGATAATTTACTACAGTGATCCAATTTGGAAATCAGTAGGGACCAGTAAATCGCTGCATAAAAGAAAGAGCGAATGAGGTCCTTTTTCCTTAGTGTCAGCAGGCTATGATTATTATGTTTATTAGATTTTCTTCAAAGGACTTCACATTTTCTCAAATATTCAGGAGAAATATATTTCCCCTCTGAGCCCTACATTAGCATTTATGTTCGTTGGTCTTGAATATAGGAGAATGATGAATTTTTCAATTTATTTTATAAATTTATACAGTCTGGATAGTATCGGCCTGAAGAGTATAATCCCCAACCTGTACAATATTAGATATTAAAAATGGATTCAAGAAAAGTTACTAAGAAATGCTGACATACTATATATACAAATTTTTTAGTTCAATATATCCCATTATATGGAGCACCAGAACTAATGCATTTATAAATCAAGCAGTTTTTTATGACTCTTTCTAATCTTTGTGACCCTTTTACATTTGTTCCAATATAGACACATCACAAATGTTACCTGCCCAAGACTTTGCCCGTTTGGTCTCAACTTACAAATATATATGTAAGCAAAAATTCATGTCAAAAGCAATTGTTCTGCTTTAAAGGTACAAAAGAAAATCTGGAATTCAACTGTCATGAACCAAGGAAAAAAAATTAGTTTAAAAGGATTGAGCATATCAAAAAGTTAGCTTTAAGAACACTATGAAGGAAAATGTGAAACGACTCTTGAGACTTTCCTTCTCCTTTAATAGGAGTTAATTTTTAGATTCCAGCAAAGGTATCTATCAATTTTTTATCACTTTCCTAAGAAACAGAATCTGCTTTAGATTTTAAAAATACTGTACTTTATCTCATCACATCCACTCAAACTCAATGCAGTTTTCCTATTTGCACTGCACAAGAGCACTCTAGAGTTTATCCCTCACACAGAAAAAACAGGTTCCTTCTTAGAACCCACCTGAATACCACCTTAGAAGGTACACATGTCCTAGAATAATTACTACCAGGAATCCTTCCAAACTTTTAGCAGTTCCTTTCTTAACCTTAATACCAGATCCAGTTAACACCTTTCCACTCTGAATATTAGAAGAGGGCTGCTCATTAAAACAAACCCTGGAAAAGACTCCTGGATTTATAAACATACACCTTTGGCACACTACCTATTAAACTACATTATCATACAGCCTCTGCAGAATTCTCCTAATCCTAGAGAAATTCCAATGAGGTGTAAAAGAGAAACTAGTTGTCTCTGCAACTCAAACTGAATTTACAAGTCTAGGTATTATTCTTGATACAATAACCAAAAATCTCAATATGCTTTTATATTACCATGAAAAGTCTAAATTTTAAGAGGTTAAACTGGCCTTGTGTACCTACAAAATGACCATGAAAAAATTTTAAGTACCATTTTTCTACACAGCTGAAAATTAAGGAGAAAGAACAATTTTATAACTGATGTATATTTAGGTGATTTAGGCACTCTTTATAAAGAAAAAAACAACAACACAGGGCCCATGATCTGAATAATGCCGCACCTAATTGTGGCCTATATTACCATTTGACTAGAAAGTAAACATTAATAGGGTACTCTTCCAGCTTTTCAACATTCAATATTTTACTACGATTTCAATATAATTGAATACAGAGTAATGTAGTTTCAATATTACTATGTACTCACAGTAAGTGCTTACTAAATATTTGTTGAATTTTGAGTAATTACATATTAAAAAAGGTGAAATCAGATCCTTTTATGGCTGACTCCGCACTTTTGGTGGCATTTAACCTTCCAACAGGGCCTGTGACCTGAGGAAAGAGTGCCACCTACTGATCATATCCCATAACCATCTGTAGTTACTTTCTCCCTTGAGGTTTCATTACAGTCAGATCAAAATTGGTCTAAATTTGGGTGGTAGCTTTGAGGCTAGCAGATCCTAGGGGGATTTGGGCAGGCACGAGTGGGGGAAGAGTTTCAGAATAACTATTTTAATCAAAATAAACTCCTTAGGATTAGATAAGAGTCTTTAACCACAATCCCTCAACACTAATTTCACTCACTCTGATCTCAAACTTTAAAAAAAAAAGGAAGTCCCTCGGTTCCACTTATCTTACTACATATACACTCATTTTCCTTTCCACATAGAATAATATTCATGTCCTAAACTTACAAACCTAATCAGAATTTTTGATCTTGACTTCTAGAAAGAAAAGGTATTCTGACAGTTTTACAAATCATAGTTATAAAACAGACCTCTTAAGTGTTTCATAAAAACTTCTCGTTTAATATCAGCATGCCTTGATTTTTCCTGTAAGGGAAGTTCCTAAATACCTAACTTTAATTATTTGCTTACTTCCAGGAGCATCTACCTTGGTAAATTTTATTCCAAGAAAATTTAAATACAAATTCTTATTTAAGAAATTTCAGTTTTGGACTGATATTAAATAGAGTTTAAATTCATGAAGAATCAAGTATACAAAAGGAATATAGAATTCTTGTTATAATAAAAGTAGGTTTTATGTTAGGCTTCCTTCCACCTGTCCAAGAGGGTTTAATATCTAAAAGTACTAGAAGAAGAATAGCACTATACCACTTCTAAAGAATTAAATATTCTGGGTGTTAACTTTTTTAAACCTGGAAGTAAAATTAAGTTCAGCTATGCTATAGTTTCTCCTACTTCATTCATTCCATATACTGCTACAGTATTTCCTTAATTTTAATTTGATAGATGTACATATTAAAATATAATTCCAGATGCCAAATCAGCTGGTTGTACATATACATATCACGGAATTCTTAGCTACTAGCTCATGCAAACTAAACATCTAGTAATGCTCAAATTGTAAAATTTACTTTTTCATGAGTGGAGGAGTATTTTATTTAAAAATCAAGCCTTCCATTAAAGAACAGTCCAACATGAGCATATCAGAAATATAATCCTGTTATGTGATAAAAAGCCTCAACTTTTAAAGCACAGGGTATTTGACATTGTTTTTTTAATATTAAAATTATTTTTATCAAAACCAACATGAAATTATTTCCTCTAGGGAAATCTTTTTGACCAGTGGTAATTTCCAAACTAAAGAGGAGAAACTCAAAACAGAGACATACTCATAGGTCATTAAAAGACAACCAGTAAAAACAGCTCACAAGAAAATTAACAGAAAAAATGGTGAAATTTGAGTAAATTCTATACTTTGATTAATTAATAGTATTGTTCCAAGGTTAATTTCTTAGTTTTGATAAATGCTGTATAGTTATGTAAGATGTTAATATAAGGGGAAGCTGAGTAAAAGGTATACAAGAACCCTCTGTGCTGTTTTTGCAACTCTTCTATAAATCTAAAATTATCTCAAGATTTTAAAAAATTGTAGAAAACAAAAAAACTAGTAACTTAAATATGACTTCAGCTGCCAAAATTTCTTGATATAATCCAAGACTTAATTTTTAAAGACATCATTAGGAATCAATATACTGTTTACTTAACATTATAGTCACTTTATTGCTCTAGAAAATTAGTTCTTAAAACCATCAGATTACATATACAGTGATAATGAGGCTAACCACACACCCACCCACCCAACCCAATCAACTGTATTGCATGAGGCTACTTTTCTAACTTAGCAGATAAATATTACAAAAAGACAAAAACAGTTGGCTACAGTTGAGCTATCAAGTAGATACCACATTTCCAGATGGGAAAGTTGAACAAAAAGAAAACTGATGTTATTGCCAAGTTACTAATGAATGTATCTGAGAAATCCAATTACATGCAGACAGAAGAAAACTGGTTACAAAAACCATTACATTACTGTGTACTAAAATTTTTGCAGTGTTTTAAACATTCCCAATCATGCAACAGTAATAAAGATCAGAATGAATTTTATAAAGAAGTTGATGGCAGCTCAACAAACAGGATTTAACATATACAACTCAAATCACAGCTGCATAATACACCCAAGACTCCCAAATTTACCTACACGTTACAAAATTAAAATGCACACTATTCCCCCCACAATTCCTCTTCCAGCCCCATTCCCAATCAATTATCTTACCTATAAACCTTTCCATTTAAACTTTTAAATCAGATTTGATGGTTAAGTATGTATCTACAGGATAATCTTCATTATTATTTCAGAACAGACACCAAGCACAGGCATATGCTCAATCTTCAGTTACATTCCTTTCAAAAGACATCTGAACTGCTGCAACTGTCTATGAAAATTCAAGCCTAAGAAACCGAGAAAATTGGTAGTCAAGAATCTAAGTAATTCTATAAGCTATGATAATACCAATCATCTATGTGTCCACATTTGTAAAAGGGTTTCCTATTTAAGAAAGGTTACTTAATGGGTGTCTGAAAGAAAGCTGTGTAACTACTAAGGCTTTCTGATGTAGAACAGTTGTGACCCCATATATTGACCCAACTGGCTAATACGCTTACAGTTGTCTTTTTAAAAAATATTCAAAGCCACATTAAAAATTTTGGAAGATCATAGCATAAGATGCAAGATGCATGCAGAATTCCTCTTATAATGGTATATCCAAAATATATCCTAACAAAGCAGCAGAAAATCATTTTAATAACAATTTGAAATTGAATACAGTGGTAAGTGTTTCTTTTAAAATCATCAACCAAAATTACTGAATGGAAAAAGAATACGGTCTCAAAATATAATGAATTCATGTATGTTAATATTACCATAATGAAATCATGCCAGATATAAATTTAGGGTACCAATTAGGTTGAAAGAAATTTTACAGCTACTTTTACAAGAGAAATAAATGTACTTCATGATAAAGGCACAGCAGCACTTAAAAAAATTTTTGATACATTTATCACAAGATAGAAACTTCCTTAACCATTAACCAGCACAGCACAGTAAAATTTTCTTGGGAACTTTTTTTTAAAAGGCTTGATTTAACATGCCAGGAAAATGGTAATTTTTCCATTGAGATGCATTTACGTAAATTGGGTTGAGGTCAGTTTTACACCTGGAATTAACAACCCCTAGCAGAAGTACCAACTGCTAAAAATGCTTCTTTCTACTATATATAACTTAGCTGGATGTTAAACTACGCAACTGTTGGTGCCAGTCTGCTTATAAAAGCAATACTCTGGAGACAAAGTCTTCTCACAAATAGTGGGCAGGCAGGTTTCATTATTACATGTTCAACAACAATCCTCAGTTCATTAAACAAGGTCCTGCAAGATAAAACAGTTTTCATTCAGACACAAAAGGAAAAAGAATACAAAGCAAATGCTGATGAAGGAATTTCCCACAGTCACTAAAGAATTTAAAGTAAAAAGAATATCGAGAATGCACTGTAGGAAACGCACAAAGTAAAATTCTCAAAATTAACATTTGCGTGTTTTTTTTTCGAGGGTGGGGGTGGGGAGTTAGTTCATTTAACAAAAGCATCTAATAAATGGTTATCTCCAAGGGCTGAGATAAGGGGTGATTTATATCTTTATAGTAGAGTCACATCATTTTCACATTTAACTTTAGTAAATTCAACTAGTTCTAAAAAAGAGAACAAGAGAGTCAAAATTATATACTATGGGCAATCCCACCTACTATTCTCAGAGCTTTCCTCATCTATAAAATAGGAATATGTACTTCATGGAGTCAGTCGTAGAGTAATTTAAGTGAGAAAGCATAGAAGATACTCAACAAATGCCATTTTCCAGTTGGATTAGCCCACTGATCAAACCAGCTCTTGTCTACCTTTAGACTAAAGTCCAACTCCTTAACATCTAATGCCTTCCAGAATCTGGTCTTAATCTAATTTTCTGCTTCATTTCCTCTCCCACTCTCTGCCATGACTCCTATATTCCAGTTATGTTGCACATTTGTGCCCAAAACAGGTTTTCGACTTTTACTGTGCTTGCTGTCTCCAAAGGACTCCTTATTACATACTGTACACATCACACATACATTGTATAGGCTAGCAGACACAAAATATGTATACTGGTTGAACTGTAATTTAAAGATCACCAAAAATAATTTTGATTATTCACTTTTGCGTTTTCACACTTTATGTGCTGACTCATCCTGCATAAAGACAATTCCTGTTCTACCTTTCTGTATCCTGTGCTGGGCTTCCTTTATCTTAGTCTTCCCCAAACCCTAAGCTCCTACCTGGTAAATCTTTCAAATTTATTCCCTTTTTATTTTACATGGAATTAGTTCAGGCTCTGGACTACCCTCACAGTCTCCAAAGTGGTCCTCTCTTCCTCTTGCTGAGCCTGTAATGCATCTTCCGGAATATTTCTAAATCAGATCTCATCATGTTCTCAAACCCTCCATATTATGAATTTCAAATGCTCTTCCTATCTTGAAATGAATTCCAAACCCTTTCATGATCTATCCCGTCTTACCTTCCCGGCACAAATCTTCATTACTTCCCTATATACTTCCTTAACTCCAGCAACATGCATTTTCAGGCACCCATGTGCCAGAACTGACTTCAAAAGACTTGGCTTCTACTACCACCTCCTCAATGAATTCTCAGCTGCCTCCCTCAGTTTCCTGTGCTTTCACAGAACTGTCACCATCACAGCCTTACACCTGTCTAATTCACTCAGCTCTAAGTCTCTAGAAAGCAAGTACTTCAATCCTACATAAAGTGTTATCACCAACACACAATCACTGTCCTCTGAATAAATGACTCTAATGAGTAAAACTAGACAACACCTTGAAAATACTCTAGTCAAACCCCTCAGGTTACAGATGAGGCCTAAAGAGGTCAATGGCTTGCCTAAAGTCACAGGGCTAATTCTTTCATTCCTGGCCATATCCCTGGCATAATCTAGACCAAGTTGCAGAGTTGGTTTGGAACAGTGCTGACAATATACGGTCAGTGATGATTAAAGTGTCTCTGCACTGTCGAATAGGGTAACCATCAGCCACACACATGGCTTCTGAGTGCGTGAAACTGGTTAATGTGACTCAGGAACTGAGTTTTAAAGTTTATGAATTTTAATTAACTTTTTTTTCTTAAAAGATTTTATTTATTTATTCATGAGAGACAGAGACAGAGAGAGAGGCAGAGGGAGAAGCAGGCTCCCAAGGAGCAGGGAGCCTGATGCGCGACTCGATCCCAGGGTCCTGGGATCATGACCCGAGCCGAAGGCAGACGCCTAACCATCTGAGCCACCCAGGCGCCCTAATTAACTTTTTATTTCAATGGTCAAATGCGGGGCACATGGCTGGCTCAATCAGTTAAGCATCTGACTCTTGATCTCAGCTCAGGTCTTGATCTCAGAGTCGTGAGTTCAAGCCCCACGTTGGGCTTCACACTGGGCATGGAGCCTACTTAAAAAAAAACAAAACAAAAAAAGGTCAAATGTAGCTGGTGGCTGCCATGTTAGACAGCACAGCTCTGACCCATCTACACTAGACATCTACAAAGGACTGACACCACTAACTTGAGGGATATCATGATGAGTGAAAACGGTACAAACTGGCAAAATCCCTAACAAAAAAGTGTAGCATACAAAATGTAGTTTTATAGGCTGTTTATCAATATTTATAAGCTCAAATATTTCCCATTACCTTCCCACTGTTTTGATTTGTTTTGTGTGCTTACGCGAGATCTTTGAAAATGCTTATTCGCACATATTTGTGTTACACGCATCCACTGCTATCCTTCCCTTTTTAATCCCACTGAACACTTCTAAATTTCTCTGTCTGCTAATCTGATTTAAAGGCATGTGGGTAAAATGGGAGTAGAGATAAAAAGGGTATAAAGAAGCAGAGAAAAACAAATCTGATGAAAAATGGATAATAGGGCAGGGCACCAGAAGATACTGTCTGAAATGAATACATGAACCAGAAAAAAAAAAAAAAAGAGGCAAAAACTCATGGAATCAAGTAAAAGTGATGATTTATTTCTGACTAGGGACTCGTTAAGAACCTATGTCTGAAGTAAGCTCTATTTTAGGAAGTACTGTAAGAAAGATATTGTCTAACAGAGCATAAAAGCCCCTCTAAGGACAATCAGAATCACAGAAAAAGGAAAATAAACTATGTATTAAAAACATAACAGAATCTAAACACTTTTAAAACATTACTTCATTTCACCCCCAGGAGGAGATTTTCTCCTCTACCAATGAAGAAATTAAAATTTAAATATTAACTTGCTTAAAGTTACACACCTGGCAAATGATGGACCAGCATTCATTTTCAGTTCTTTTTATTTTGCTCGTGAAATTAAGGATCATGCTAAAACACTCACTGGCTTTCTGACTGACTTATACTGTACAATGAATTTATTTTAAATTTGTAAACAAACTCTATGTTAACATTAGTATTCTCAGTAACATATCCAAGAAGCTATTAAAAACAGCTATTCATTTCAGTTTTACTCTAACTTCTGAGATCCACATGCATAACTTAATCACTGAAGCCTCCATTCCTGAACATTATAGTAACTCATTAAAATATATCTGCTTCCTCATTTTTCCACTCCAAACTATTCTGCACAAGGCTATCAGAATATGATCATGTCCAAACCACCATTCTCATACATCTAAAAGATAAATTCCAAACTTCTTATCCTGAAATTCAAGAAATTTTATGATTTGGCTCCAATACACCTTTTTAATCTTAGCTGCAACCACTTACCATTCAGAATCCCTGGTATAGTCAAACAGGTCTATTCAATGTCCCTTAAACACAGCTTACTCCTTCTTGCCTCTGAAGATAGTTCCTACTATCTTCCTATCTAAAATGCTTTTACCTATTCTGTCTATTCAAAGGCTTTAATCTTTCTTGAACAAAATAAAATCTCTACTTTGTGAAACTTTCATGGGCTCTTTTTATTTTCTGGCTCAATGATCTCTCCTTCCTGTGGACTACAGTACTGATATGATAAGGCAAACGTAACAATGCATCATATATTGGTTTGTGAACACTGTATCCTGAACTATTGTTTCCTTATTATTTGACATACGGTTTTGTTTCTTCAATTAGGAAAGTGCCTTGAGTTTGGGACTAATGTCTTAGACATCTTCAATACTATTTTGAGTACTATTTTAGCAGAGATAAAGGTAAATCTGGTCTCAGTTTCTAAAAAGAAATACAACCATCTCCTCAACAACCCTACTAAGGCCTGGAACTTAAATTTACAAAAATATCACTTGCTTCTAAATTCTAACATAAAAGCTAAACAACTCTTACAAGTTATAAATGCTGTATTTCACAATACTCTCAACAAATAAAACATTTAAACTAATCACCAGCTTACCGACAATATGGATTTCTTCGAGAGGAATATCGAAGAGTAAGAAATCTATAGTATATAAAAGGCTGGAGCAAACTTCCTTGCCCACTGAAATAAACAAATACAAGGTTAAGAAATATACATGATCAATTCATATGTATACTCTCAAAACTTAAAGCAATTTAATTGGAGAATGCGTGTCTTCATTCATTAAATGGTCATGGTAGGGGCGCCTGGGTGCTCAGTCAGTTAAGCGTCCGATTCTTGATTTCGGCTCAGGTCATGATCTCAGGATTGTGAGATGGAGCCCCATGTCCAGCTCAGTGCTGGGCACAGAGCCTGCTTAAGATTCTCTATCTCCCTCTCCCTCTGCCCCTCCCCACCTGCTTGGCGCACATGTGTGCGCTCGCTCTCCCTCTAAAAATAAATAAAATAAGAAATGGTCATGGTAATACCTATCATGTCTAAATCAAAGTTATTCTTTTTTCTTTAAGATTTATTTATTTACTTTAGAGAGAGAGAGCAAGGGTGCAAGCAGGGAAAGGGGCAGAGAAAGGCAGAGAGAGAGAAGCAGACTCCCCATTGAGCACAGACCCCAACACGGGGCTTTGATCTCATGACTCCGAGATCATAAACTGAGCAGAAATCAAGAGTTGGACACTTAACCAACTGAGCCACCCAGGCACCTCTAAATCGAAGTTATTCCAAAAAAGGAAATAAAAGAGTGGCACCTGGCTAGCTCAGCTGGTAGAGCATGCGACTCTTGATCTTGGGGTTTTAAGTTCAAGCCCCAAGCTTACTTAAAAAAAAAAAATGAAATAAAAGAACTTATATGATTGCTAAGGAGTAAAATGTTATTGCTTAAATTTTTATAAACATACATTCATGTATGTATTACTTTTAAAAAAGTTTAAAAGCTATTAAATGAACGAGAAAATGTATATGGGTGCCTGGGCGGCTCAGTTGGTTAAGCCTCTGACTTCAGCTCAGGTCATGATCTCCGGGTCCTGGGCTTGGTCCCAGGTCACACTCCTGGCTCAGCAGGGAGTGTCCTTGTCCCTCTCCCTCTGCCCCCCACCCCCACTCTGTCTCTCAAATAAATAAAATCTTTCAAAAGAAAATGTATAAATGCTTCCACAATTACCACTAATAACTGATCAACAAATTTTGAAACTTTTAACATAGTAAATGAAAAGTGGTTCATCTTATATAAACAAACAAAAAAACCAGTAAAATCACACAGGCTCCCTAGTAAATTTGCATAGCTTATTCTACTATTTTGCTTGGTTAAAAAGCACATTTATAATACCCAAGAGCCATTTACTAGTTATGCAATTCTAAGTCAAGAATTCTTTCCTAGGAAAGATTATCTGGGTTAAGACATTCACTACCAAGCACTACAAATTAAATGCATCACTATCTGGATAGTGAGGTAGCAAGGCTAAGTATATTATCTTTACTTGATAGAGTTAATATGCAACTACCTAAAATCTTGATTATGAAAACCACAGAGCAACTTTGAAGAATGCAGAGTATAAAATTATACATATTATGATAACTATATTTTAAAACTTTTTGAAGAAACACATTGAGATGCCAATGTGGCTTTTAAAGTTAATTTTTACCTTTTCTTCTAAATTGTGATTACTTTCATAATAAAGATTTGTGATTACAAACTAATCACTAAACTAAATGTTACATCCACTTTCCCCAATAACTCCTGTGACAAATCTTTAACTCTTCAAATTGAAAAATACACATACTACAGAAAATACAGAAAGGAATATTCAATGAAAAACAAATTTTCCATCATCCAAGTTAGCTCCTTCCTCAGAGTTACAGCTCAGTCTCTAATATATCCTTCCAGAAATTCACATGTACAAGTGTATATAATGACTAACACTAATACAGTGCTCACTTTACAAATCACTGAATCCACTTAAAACAATTCTAAGACAGAAGGGGCATTATCACTCCCATTTCAAAGATGAAGAAACTGATGCAGAAAAAAACATTTCTATGCCCTTAAATACACAAACACACCCCAAAATATAAAAGGGAACACCCTACACAGTTCTTAATAAATTTTTAAATTATATCTTGAAGATTATCTGCACCATAAATTTACCTCATTCTTTTTACAGCTTCAAGCAATTCATCTTATGCATTACTATTATGTAACAAGCCCTCTACTAATGAATAAAGCTACCAAGATCTCATCCTTTTATCTTTTTTTACACTCATGTTCGTGTACATATAAGATAAACTCACAGACTTTACCTTCATTTTTAAATACAAAGCTTGAAGCATTACTCAGAAAAATGTAACTTAATGAAGCCTTCTAATATTAGATTGTGCTTCTATCATGGAGGGAACATCTAAGGAATAATGATTTTAAATCATTTTTAATTTTATAGTCTGTGTTATATGCAAGTGACATATTAAAGCATCAACAGCTTTTCCTACTATGGACTGAATATAACCTTATAATCTTACTATATTCTTCTAGAATAACAAAGTGATTTTTCTCTATTTAAATATTTCCAGTAAATTCTCATCTCTTTTACAATAGTCTTGAAAATTAACATCAGTTTAAGATTTAAGTTTTTTAAATGTGAAAAATCAATGCTCAAAAGGTTAAGTTAATGATCACATCAGCTAGAATCCAGGGCCCTAACATCCAGTAAGAAGTCTTTCCATTGTGCCATTCCCAGACTTTATTTAGATTATATTATCTAACTTATGATCGTATGACCTGAACAACATGCAGTGATCCTGGAGTCTCCAGAGAAAAACATTACTTAAAAGAATGGAACGAAGGCATTTATGAGGAAATCTATAAAACTGTTACTAGCTTACAGACTGCTGAAGAGGCAGACATGCAAAAATCTCACTAATTATTAAGCAATGCACACAAAAATGAAATATTTCATAAAGAAAGATAAGTTTTTACAAGTTAATGAGATTATGGAAAACAGCTAATACTGACATCTTAAAGGACAATCTGCCATCATCTATTAAATATAAAATGCACTTAGCTTACACTCAGCAAAATCAATTCTGGTTTAGAGAAAACGCAGGCACAAAAGTAGAAGCAGAAAGGTAAAGAGGGGCGCCTGGCTGGCTCAGTTGGAGGAGCATGCAACTCTTGATCTCAGGGTCCTGAGTTTGTGCTCCACACTGGGAGGAGAGATGACTTAAAATACACAAAAATTTAAAAAAAAAAGGTAAGAAGATGTTTACTCCATCAATATTTGGAAAAGCAAAACTTTGGAAACAAATGTTTCCCCATCATCAGGGGAACAGGTAGTAAAATGCAGCACATGAATATGACCAAACACTGTATGGCCATTAAATGGAACAAACCAGAATTGTATCTATCAACATAAATAGGTCATGAAAACATACTGTAGGAGTGAAAAAAAGCAAGATGCAGATAACTGATGCATTATGGCACTTCTGATGCAAAATTAAAAACTAGAAAAACAACAAAAAACCCCACACCCATAATATGTATTTCCTATGTGTCTGTATATGTATTTTTCAAGTACTACATGCACATACACATAGAGGAGAGGACAGAACTGCAACAGCTTAGAGTCAAATGATATTTTAGCTTTTATCTGTAATGTCCTCTTATTGGAAAAACTAAAAAAGCAATAATCCAGGCAGAAATGTAGTTTTATTTTTTTTCCTGCTAATCTGAATTATTCTATTTTCCAATTTAGCTCTGAAGCTAGTAATTTTTTTTTCTACAACAAAGAAGATAAACACATTAATAGAGACAGAGAAGAACTTCTGACTTGGTAACCAAAGCTTATGCTCCTCCCCTTTCCTTCCTTTTTTTTTTTTTGGTTAAGTTTTAATTTTAATCACCCAGTGCTCATCACAAGTGCCCTCCTTCATCTATTTCACCCATTCTCCCACCCATCTCCCCAGAAATGTAGTTTTAAAATGTAAATGCAAGAATCTTGATGGGGAGGGTCAGTACTAGCCTGATGTTCTAATTTTTAACAGGAATAGCTTTCTTTATTCATGCATTACTTCTATCATTAAGATACAAACAAGGGGCACCTGGGTGGCTTAGTCCGTCAAGCGTCTGCCTTTGGCTAGGTCATGATCCCAGGGTCCTGAGATGGAGCCCCGAGACGGGCTCCCTGCTCAGCAAGGAGCCTGCTTCTCCCTCTGCTCCCAGCTCATGCTCTCCTCCCCTGTAGTACTCTCTCTCGCTATCTCTCTTGCTATCTCTTTCTCAAATAAATAAAATCTTAAAAAAAAAGATACAAACAAAACATGGAGATGATAGCAGGCAGCTATTAATACCAGACCATAATATTTTTGAAGAATTTCTAAAAGAAAAATCATCTAAATAGTGGCAGATACACTAGACTAGGCTTCCCAAGATTCTTTCAAAGGCAGCAGTTCTAAAATTAATTTTCAAAATGTTAAATGGTATATCACAAGGAATGATAAATAAGACAAGTTCCTAAGGTTTACCATAACGTCTCAGGTTCTCTATGATAAAATGAAAAATGGTTGCTAGGATCAATCTAGCTCTGCACATCAGTATCTAACAGGTTTAAGCAGGATAAAATGAGTTAATGTATTTAATATATTCACTTAGTCATCTGCCTCTCAAAACAAATGTATTTTTATTCTTACCTAAAAAGCATAAAAACTGTAGCAGGCATCAAGAATATTTCATTACAAGCAATGAATTTCAGAATATTCTGTTGATTAGCACTTAATTTATCCAAGATAGATCTCAGCAGAGGTAAACTATTTGAACCCTTTGCCTAAAACATAAGAAAACAAGTATTAGAAATAATGAAGCATTTTTGATTACTCAATTATTTTCTTTCTTTAGATAAATAGCATATCCAACAGGTAATGCAACTAAAAGACAATTATTTTGGAAATAGTAATATAAAAGTTTACAAAATAATGTAAAATTTAGTGTATTTTCCTGCTTTGTTGTATTTTGTGTATTTGAAAAATAAAAAGACAGCTTAAGTCATTTTCATGCTTTATTTTTTGTTTAAAAAAAAAGACTAGATTATTTCACAAAAAAATGGTGATTACTTCTATCTAACCATAACAAAATCGGACTACCTAGTAATAGTTAAGGTATTTGTGAATCCTTAGCTAAATAAAAGAAATTACAGAGTCCAATTACTGCTGTGACCAAAGAACTGTAGGGATAAAGAAACAGGCCAATGCAAGGCAAATATTTGGATATTTTAATTCAAATGTCAGGGCATATGCAGTCAATCCACCTGGCACACTTAAGTGAGGCTTCCTGTTCCAACCCAGGACTAAGAAAATATTTTTGGAAAGTAGCAGTTCTGAACACTAATGTAAAAGAAATGCAGTACACTCTACTTACCCGGTATGTTAAAATTAAACAATGACAGAACAAGAGATCTCTGACAACTTACCAAACCTAAATGATTTAAAAAAAAAAAAAAAAGATTTCAAACTTCAGAAGTTCTCTGGGAACTGGGGGGTATTCTGCAATACAATCCAATACAATCCTTCACAAAATGTATTTTGTGAAACTTAAATAAAAAATTTCAAACTTAAAACTTTTAAATCACTAATAATTTACAAGTTTGCAGGGATTGAAGGAAATTTTTGAGACAAATACAAAAACGTCTCAGAACTAAATTCAAGCCAACAATCTGCAATCCAGGAGTCAAAAAAACAGCATAGCTCTACTTACATCAAGGACCTTTTTCGTGTATGTGGCGGCATGAAGCAAAGAGAATAACAAGACTGGGAAAATACTCACTGGAGAAAACAATTAAGGAAAATATTTAACATTTATCAAGTACTTTGCAAAACAGGCTATGTATTATGCCCAATATGTATCTGAACCAGCATCTGCTCAAAGGACTTCAGTGATGGCTTTTGTTTTGTTTTACTTTGTAAAACCAAATGAAGTTTTATTTTTCTACCTGTAAACAACTTCATTTTCTAAAGCTCACAGTTTTATTAATAGTGAAAAGTTTTTTTCTTTTCTATTAGATAATAAAATATTCTAAACATTTGCTAAATTCAACTGAAATCTAGGCCACCTCAAAATATTACAATTTTTAATCCCACAATGGCCATCCTGGCCAGAATAATTTGGCCTTCAAATATAAAGAGTCTTTGGTCCTGCTTTCCTCATCACAGCTGCTTAGGAAAGAGTCTGGGGTAATGGTTTAAAAGGTATTTCTTCCGTGGTGCCCCAGCTGGCTCAGTCAGTACAGCACGGGACTCCATCTCAGGGTGGTACTTGATCTCGAGGCGATAAGGTCAAGCCCCACACTGGGTGTAGAGTTTATGTAAAAAAAAATAAAAACCTTTTAAAAAGTACTTCCCCAATTTTCCTCAACTAAAGATCTTTCATTATTTCTTTCCTACAAGATCCCCATTATTTCAAGATACTGTACCTATCAAGCTTGTACAGTTCATGTGTTCTCTATCTGTACAAATAAAAAGCGTATATATATTTGGGTTTGTGTAGTACAGTTAATTGAGTCTCATCAGTTTAATTACAGACACCTATTTGAGTTCAACTGTTTGGCTTTATGTCATGGATAAATATGCAATTTTCATTCAGCTTTTTGAAAAATAAAAATTGCTCAAAAGACCCTATTTACCCCAATTTCTGCCAGGCTGATTACAAGAATAACAAAACTTGTCAAATATTTTCATAAAATGATACAGACTGTTAGTCCATTCTGAATGGCAAAAATACGTGTCCTAAAAGTATTTGCAGTTTCTGGGGTGCCTGGCTGGCTCAGTCAGTAGAGCATGTGACCTGATCTCAAGGTTGTGAGTGCAAGCCTGATGTTGGGTGTAAAGTTTACCAAAAAAAAATAATCAAAAAAATGTTTAAATTACCCTCATTAAAAAAAAAAAAGTATTTGCAGTTTCTAAGAAATGAACCATTATATTTTTCTACACTACCTGAAAGCTTTGGCGTGATGGGAAATGGTGATTACTGTAACATAAGGAGTTCCAAATTCATAACCACCATAACTCATTAGGATCCAAAAATGCCTAATTCCAACTGGCAAGCAAGACAGTGGCCTATAACCAAGGATTAGAAAAATGCTACCTCTCTAATATAGTTCTCCAAATTGATATCCTGACCAATTTTTCCCTGACACAAGAATTAAGTAAAATGCTAATTTCCTCAGCAGAGACCATGTATAGTTTCACATTTTTTAATCCATCATAGATCCCTTTGGAACTGATGAAAGCTACAAGCCTCTCCTCTCCAAGGCCACTGTAAAATTCTGTTGCTTCTTAAGTAGTTAAATTTAAACTTTTGACACATATCCTAACTTGAAGCCTGATTCAGTAGAAGCAATGCAGGTAATGAAAACAGAACCCTGAAAGGACAATCAAGATATCTGGGTTCCAATCAGGGATCTGACACTAACTTCATCTCCTAGGCTAAGTTTCATCAAAGCTACAGATTTCTCTCCCTCTCCCCCGCTCATTTCCCCCTCCCTCTCAAATAAATAAATCTTTAAAAAAAAAGGGGGGGTGCCTGGGTGGCTCAGTCAGTTAAGCATCCAACTCTTGATTTCGGCTCAGGTCATGATCTTGGGTCATGGGATGGAGCCCTGAGTCTGTCTCTGTGCTCAGCCGGCCTCCACGCTCCTCCAGCAGGGAGTCTGCTGGAGATTCTCCCTCTCCCCACCCCCCACCTCCTGTGCGTGCGTGCGTGCTTGCTCTCTCTAATATTTTTTAAAAAGCTACAGATTTCTTATGAGTTTTTTTACAGCTAACATTCTATAGTTCACAAATCCTTGATAAGAGATTCATAATCTTAGCTTTCAATGTCACCTTTAAACTATTCAGAAAATATAAAGGGTGTAAGTACCTATCACTGTCAGACAAGGACAGCATCACCTTTTTAAAACCAAAGATCAGAACATAACTTGGTAATGACTTTGGGCTCACCTTTATTTACTAACCTAATACCCAACTACTTTAAGAATCAGATTAGTATTTATTGCCAGTTACTAGTTTAGGCTATTCCTATTGCTCACTACTCCCCAACCTCCACCCCAAAGAGGAATTTAAGGAACATGAAATCCTTAATCTTCAACATTCCCACAGAGAGGGGCTAGCAAACAACCAATTGCATAGAGAAGGCAGAGAGGTTGTCTTAACTGGTCATGAGCCTCATTTGGCATCAACTCAGGATTCACTCAACAAAACTTAGTGACCACCTGCTGTGTGGACTGGCTTTGTCCACGTACAGACAGAACTATTTCAAAACTATACTTAAGTGTTACTCATACATTAACTGTAAATTAGGTAGACCTTTTAAGTCAGATAGACCTTGGGGCACCTGGGTGGCTCAGTCGTTAAGCATCTGCCTTCGGCTCAGGTCATGATCCCAGGGTCCTGGGATCGAGCCCCGCATCAGGCTCCCTGCTGTGCAGTAAGCCTGCTTCTCCTTCTCCCACTCCCCCTGCTTGTATTCTCTCTCTCTGTCAAATAAATTAAAAAAAAAAAAAAATCTTTAAAAAAAAAGTCAGATAGACCTTGTTAGCATTACTATGTGCTTGCCCATGTGATGTCAGGCAAGTTATCTGAAACTCTTTGAGCCTCAGTGGCCTTATCAATATGATGATCTGGGCACCTGGGGTAGGCTCAGTTGGTTAAGTCTCTGCCTTCGGCTCAGGTCATGATCTCAGGGCCCTAGGATCAAGGAACCCCACATTGGACTACCTGCTCAGTGGGAAGTCTGCTTCTCCCTCTCCCTCTGCCCCCCACAATGGTGCTCTAATAAATAAAATCTTAAAAAAATATATAATGCTATGATTTTTTCAGTATTGCAAGGATTAAATATGCCAAGTTTGTATGCGCTGACAAAATACTCAAAAAATTTCAGTTACCTATTCTCTTTTCCTTAAGACTTTTTAAAAATCTATTTAAAATTTGATACTGCACATACAAAGTATTATCTAAATAGGTAATATTTAGCCCTAGAGACATACTTTATTGTGTTTTGCCATTAGGTATAGTTATGTAGACACATGCACTATTTATGATTATTATCAGAAGCATTTAAGAACTCTTAAGAGCAGGACTTAAAGCACAAAATACTTTCTGGAGGACAGAGGGACAATAGTGGGGACAGAACTATTAAAATAACTGCAAGGTGACTGTTACTGGATATTGTCTGTGTTCCTTTCTAGTCTACGTTACTTTTAGGCTCTCTCTTTGCTTAGAGGACCCCTTTCAATATTTCTTGTAGGGCTGGTTTCGTGTTTGCAAATTCCTTTAGTTTTTGTTTGTCCTGGAAGCTTTTTCTTTCTCCTTCTATTTTCAATGACAGCCTAGCTGGATATAGTATTCTTGGCTGCATATTTTTCTCATTTAGTGCTCTAAAAAAAAAAAAAAAAAAGATTGTGAGACGCCAGTCACTCTTTGGCCTCACAATGCACACTAGCACATCAAAGTCCTGTAGTAAGGAAACCTACCTAAAACTGTTTAATCCAGTGCTTCCCAAACATATTAAACTGCAGCTCTCCCCACCAACCCTCCCCAGCCTTTTGAGAAAACCTATTATCATCCAACACACTCTTGAAATGTATAAACATACAATTCCAAATGAGTTATTTCATTCTCCTTAGCTCCAAAGATTATCCGTGTGTCCTTATTTTCTACTCTATCCACAGTAAATACTAAATTTTTATTGCATTTATTAATTATCTAATCTTCTGCTTAAATACGTTATTTCTTGAATTTCCATTTGTTTCTAGCTCACTAGGAGTTGAAAGAGCTGAGGATTTCTCCTTTTTTTAAAGCAAGACATATGGACAATTGCCCAAAGATGTGAATTAAATGAAAAACAAGTGTAAATACTAAAATAAGGCCTCCATAGTCCTATGCTTGGAATCTGAAGTTTAAAATATCCATCGCTAATAGAGAAGTTTACAAGAGGCAAGAACAAAGATACAAAATTTAAAATTCCCATGTCAGCTCTTCAAATTTAGATTTCACATTTTCGAGTCAGAAATTCTTACACTAAATGTAGCTTCATTCAAATTAAGTGTCAACAAACCAACCAATCCAGGTTCACAGAAACCCTCACTGCTGAACCCTTTCTATTGCAAAAAATAATCCAAAGAGATCTCCTACACACTCGGTAGGTGACGCCTTTGTCAAAAAGGCACAGAAAGGATACTTGTAACAGGGTAGGAATTGACAAAGATGAGTGAGTAGAGCAGGTAGTGGCAGCTGTCTTCTAATAAAGCCTGGGCCAGGAATGCTCTGCTTAACTGGAAATGTGGTAATCTTTGGTGCAGCCTCAGAGCACTGGTAAGAGCATTTGCCAGTAAAGCACGCTGGTAAAAGCTTGCAGCTTCATGCAACCTGCAAATTACCAGAGGAGAGGTTATCATGGGACATAACTACCGTGTCTCTTCCTCCTTTGTGGATTGCATCATAATTGCACAACACCTAAATCTCTCACTTGTCAATAGAAAAAAATTACTTGAACCTATTATACCTTCTTAGAAGCATCACTTCATATGTATACCCAACTGAATTTTATAAAGCAGTCCTCCTCCTTTTAAGTTAAAAAATCAAAAATGAAAAAAATATGAACTCCTCTCATCCCCACACATCCATTTTCTTTCTGATTTTCAATGTGATGTCAGCTTTCACAATGCACATGACATAAAATATTCCTCCAGTTGGTACTATTACTGAATTATTAACACCTAAAGCATGAGACCGTGTTTTATCTGTCCCAGAACCTCTTGCAATTTAACAAGTCTTGCAAATAAAAGGTAGTCCAGAAAAACCAACCAAACAACTGAATATCAAAGGCAGAAAATCTGTGTAATACATACCCAAGAACAGGCAGGACAAACAAAGCAGAGCAGTAAACTGTGAACAAACGAGAAAGCCACATTGCCGTGTCCAGTTTATTGGTCATCATGAATTGCTAAATTTAAAAAGAAAAATACTGTAGTAAACTAAGCCTGCAAATTATCTTTCCAAGGATGAAGATCACATAGTCTTATTCCTATTAAAAATGTTTTAACAACCCTGTAGCAATTATTTGAGATCATTAAATTAAAACTCCTAAGGCAACTGTTTAACCTATATGCTCAGCAACACCTTCAAACACCTTATAGTTTTGATGCAGAAAGCAGCAGAAGTACTTAAATAGAAAAATACCAGTTGATATTTAAAAAAATAAAGACTAATTAAGAAAGAAACCTTTGAACAGAAATTTAACTACAATTATCTGTATTCCTTCAACACTCGTAATACTGGCTTCATCTATTTTAAAAGAATGTTAAATAAGAATTGCTCTCAAGAGAACCATAATGCCTATTCTCAGAAATCTCAAATTCAAATAGGTAGGCTTCAGATCTGAGTAAAAAGGCATTACACAAAGCCAGTTTGCATTAAATAAACCTTACAAAGGAGAAATGTAAAACCATGGTAATAGTCACTCACTACCTCATTATAATTTGCTTACATATACACAAGGGCCTGACACACACTCTAAGTGTTCAAAATATGGCTGTGAAATGTTAAATAGCACCTGCCTCTCCAATTTTATGACTTTCTTCATCCCCTTGGAAGCTGCCCCATTCGTCTTACTCTATTTCACTGGCCCTAAAGTGAACTCCCATATCCCACTTTATTCTCCATGTTTTCTCATTCTATCTTTGCCCTTGCCGCGTTTGCCAAAGATGGATCCATTATCACTAATAGAATCACTTAAAATCTGTTTTCTCATTCAAAATGTATCGTCTTCAAATCCTAAAGTGGCTTTTACATTTTCTGACAGAATCTATGTTAATAATTTTTACATCAAAGTCCAAAACAAACATACATGGATATATAAACTTCTATAAAGAAGTTTCACAAAACAGTATCTTCCCTATGTATAATGGATTTTGGTATTTTGTACTCTCTTTAATGTTTAGAAATAGTGTTTTCACTAAATGGATTTCAAAACTCACTAATGAATCTTAATGTGGAGTCTAAAACACTACTCTAAGCAATCTAACTTAATTATCTTTTGAAAGATATAAAAACTGGGCGCCTGGGTGGCTCAGTAGGTTAAGCATCTGCCTTCTGCTCAGGTCATGATCCCAGGATCCTGGGATCGGGTCCCACATAGGGCTCCCTGCTCAGCGAGGAGTCTGCTTGTCCCTCTCCCTCTCCCTCTGCCCCTCCCCCCACTCATGCTCTGTCCCTGTCTCTCAAATAAATAAATCTTTAAGAAAAAAAAAAGAGGGGCGTCTGCCTTCAGCTCAGGTCATGATCCCAGGGTCCTGGGATCGAGCCCCACATCAGGCTCCCTGCTCAATGGGAGGCCTGCTTCTCCCTCTCCCACTCCCCCTGCTTGTGTTCCCTCTCTTGCTGTGTCTGTCAAATAAATAAATAAAATCTTTTAAAAAAAAATTAAAAAAAAGAAAGATATGAAAACCTTTTGGAAAAAAAATACAAGTACATTTTAAAATCCAAAGATGTTTCACAGCATGTCTTTTTAACAATATGCGGGTAATTTCAGAAATATGCCTGGTTTATTGTATCCAAACCTACTATACTGTGACTCCTCAAAATTTAAATGATCACCCATAGTCAAGTGGAAGAATGAATCTGGCTTACTGTACTCAGGCTCTCTACAAATATTCAGACTTTACACCATAGTCTGAAATTTAATTTTGGAACATGTTCTTTAAAATTTAAGCTTAGGTGCACTGGCTCAGTCAGCGGAGCATGCAACTCTTGATCTCGGGGTTGTGTATTCAAGCCCTACATCGGGTATAAAGATTGCTTAAAAATAAAATCTTTTTGGGGTGCCTGGGTGGTGCAGTGGGTTAAGCCTCCAACTCTTAGTTTTGGCTCAGGTCACGATCTTAGGGTGGTGAGGTCAAGCCTCAAGCTGGGCTCTGATTTCAGCAGAGTCTGCTTAAGTTTCTCTCCCTGCCCCCCTCCCCACTGTGCACACGCTCTCCCTCTCTAAAATAAATAAATCTTTAAAAAATAAATAAAATAAAATATTTTTAAAAATAAAATACAATGAAATCTATTTGGTTAGGGTGTTTATTTTGTAATAAATCACTGATCTATTCATTTCATTTTGTACACTTTTATGTATCTGCATTTTAGTACACAATAAAAAAAGGTTTAAAAAAAAGTGTATTGGTTTACACTTTAAGAGTCAACAACCCAGCCATGTTATAAATAGTTTGGGCAAAAAACATCAATGAAACTTTAGATGAAAACCTACTGAGGTGAAAAACTATTCACACAGTCTCAAAGCATCATGCCACAGAATACTTCTTAATTACAAAAGAAAAACGGTATCTTTACAATGGAGAGTCTGCTGGATACCACCTGAACCAAATAATCAAACTTCTCTCCAATGATGACATAAATTAACATAAAATGTTTCCTGAAACATATAACGCAGTGAAAATGAGAGAATATCACTTATGTAATATTCCTGCCAAAATGTTTAACTTGAATCTAGTCATGAGGGGAAAAAAACAGGCAACTTCCATTTGAGAAGCAAAACAAGTCTGAATTCTTGACAGTCAAAAATGGCACCAGGAAGGTAAAGGGAACTATTCTAGACTAAAGATTCTAAAGACCTGTAAAAGCAATGCATGCTTTGGATTAAATCCTGGATAAGGAGAAAACAGCTTTAACAGACAACGGAAGAAATTTGAATATGGATTCTAAATCAGGTAATAACATGTATCAATGTTAAATTTTTCAAATAGCAAAAACTGCAGCAATAACTGCATTGTGGTATTGTAGAATACTTAAGTATTTTATGAATTAGCCATCGTGTATGCAAATAATTCTCAAAGGGTTCAACAAAATGAAGAAAAAAGAAAACTGTGTCTATAAATGGAAATGTTGTAAAATGTTTAAAGGGGAAAAAAGTGACATGCTCAGTTCACATATTCATAGTATTTAAGATTACAGAGCAATAACGCTTTGGGTACAAATAACTAGTAAGCAGATCTGCATGTTAAGAATAAAATATTTACAGAAATCTAGTTATCTCTCTTCGTAAAGAAGTAAGGACAAAATGATGAAAAGGAAGAAAAAAAAAGACAGCTCTTCCCCCGCGTAATTTCCATATAATGGCATAAAACGGGCAGAGGCGTTCTCTGCTAGCATGGGTGTGCGGAATGAGGCCTGTGTCACGGCACCACCTCAGCTGGCATCTTCAACCTTGGAACCTAAGACAATTAGAAACGGGGGGCGGGGGGGGTCGAGTAAGAAGGCCGGATTTCTTTGGCATGCAGCTGAGAGCCACCTGCTCCAGCCCGGCCCACAGTGGCTTAAGAAACAGAAAACTTGTAGCTTCCTCTATATCTCTGCTCAAGACCTCTCCTCTCTATGCTACCCCCACCTCAATCACTAATCCCAGTCCCTTTAAGCACTGAGGTGGAACGTCTCCGAACAGACTTGGGAGACACTTCCCGCTCCTTCCTAACTCTAGTAAATCAAGCCAGAAGACCCTGCTCGCTCACTTACCACTGCGCCCGCCCCTTGGGGGCCGTTCGGGGCCGTATCCGCCATGGGAGACCCACAAGCCCGTCTGGGACGCTGCAATCGGGAAGGGAAGAAAGGGAATGTCAGCACGGGCCAAGAATCCGGTAACCGGTCTCCTTGCCCCGTGCCACAAGCCCGCCGCACCCTACGGGAACTCCGAATCTCAACAGAAAAGTCTCGCCCGCTCCAGAGCAGCAAATCGCCTTGAGAACACCCGAAGTGGCCGGGAAATACCTGTACGACACCACCAAGTGCAAAACCGGGTTTCTAGAAAAACCGGAGAGAGGCGGAGTTTCGGGGCAAGACCCAACAAGGCCGATCTAACGCCGCCGCCGGGTGCAGGTTATTGCCAAACCCGGAAGTGCTCCTTTCACTTCCGTGGGGAAGGGGCGGTGACGAAGAGGGGAAACCGATAGCCGAGCCTTGAGGTATGACGGGAAGTGTAGTTTTTCTTGTTTCAGTTTCACCTGTCCTGCACTCTGGCTGTGTAAGTTAAGAAGAGAGGCTGGCAAAGCAATTTTTCCCTCTTCTCCAGCTCCCAGGTGGTCCTCCCTGTCAATGCCCAAGCCGTAAAATGTCTACTCGTTAAGCCTCAGAAATGTTTTCTTTGCTGTTTTTTTCCAGGGGCTCCATAAGCCCTGTGGTTCTACTTACAAAATTAAGTCTTCTGGGTGGCTCAGTTGATTAAGCGTCTGCCTTAGGATCAGCTCATGATCCCAGGGTCCTGGGATGGAGCTCCATGTGGGGCTCCCTGCTCAGCAGGCAGCTTGCTTCTCCCTCTGCCTCTACCCCTTCTCCTGCTCGTGCTCTTGCACTCTCTCTCTCTCTCAAATAAATAAATAAAATCTTTTTAAAAAAAAATTAATTCTTCCAACAAGCACTTAATGAGATCTGCTATGTGACAGGCCCCATGTTTGGCATGGAGGATAAAAAGAATGAATATGACACAGATTGTGGGAAAGAAAGACAAGTAAACCAATACCACAGCACAGCGCTTGTGTGATATGGGCAGAGGCCAAGTTAATCACAGAGAGCACAGAGGAGGGGACCTAAATTAGAAAGGATCTGGGAAGGTTTCCTCAAAAAGGTAATTCTGGCTCTAAATTTTGAAGGACAAGGAGAAGTTTGCTAAACAGAGGAGGGAATTCCAGATACAGCAACAGAAAGTTCATGAAGCAATAGGACAGAGTAAAGGAACCAGCTGAGTATGACCAGAATGAAGGGATGTGTGTGTTGGGGGTAGGGATGGGACTGGGAGAAGTGGGTTGAAAAAATTTGAGATAGAGAGGCAGGGAGACATGTTAAGGAGGAGATCTGAACTTGACCTTGAGATCCAGGCAATCATGATACAATTGTAAGCAGAAAAGTGACATCATGAGATTTAGAATAATCAACGCTGGCAATAGGATGGAGGATGATCAGAGGAACAAACTAAAACTCAGGGGATTAAGTGGGATGTTTTACATACATACAGAAGAAATATCCAACATCCATGGTCAGTCCAGGTGCTGGTCAGTTGTAGCTGACAAGTCAAATGGTGCCCTCTTGAAGCCATGTAATCTTCGGTTTTTCTAAGGTCACTGCCCAAGTTCAGGTTCTCATGATCTACAGCCTGGATTACCTAAAATGCCACCTCCTCTGCACTCCTCGCATATCATTTACTCCATATTTTTATAGCACTTAGCATTCTTTAACATTTCTTACAATTATTTGTGTACCTATCAACAGTGTGTGTGTGTGTGTGTGTGTGTGTGTCTAAGCTTGGGCTGCCATAACAAAATACAATAGGCTGGGTGGCTTAAACGACAGAAATTTATTTCTCACAGTTCTGGAGGCTGGAAAGTCCAAGACCAAGTTGCTGGCGGGTAGGTTTCATTCTGAGGCCTCTTCTCTCCATTTGTACGTGGCTGCCGTTTCATTGTGTGCTCACATGGCCTTTCCCTGCTAGGGAGAGGGAAGGAAGAGAGATCTTGCTTCCCTTTTTATAAGGCTGCCTAGTTTTATTAGTAGGGCCACACCCTTATACCTCATTTACACTTAATTACCTCCTAAAGATGTTATCACCAAGGGGGGCCTGGGTGGTTCAGTTGTTAAGCATCTGCCTTTGGCTCAGGTCTTGATCCCAGGATCCTGGGATCAAGCCCTGAGTCAGGCTCCCTGCTCAGCGGGAAGCATGCTTCTCCCTCTCCTACTCTCCTGCTTATATTCTCTCTCTCTCTCTCTCTGTCAAATAAAGTCTTTTAAAAAAAATAAAAAATAGGGCGCCTGGGTGGCTCAGTTGGTTAAGCGACTGCCTTCGGCTCAGGTCATGATCCTGGAGTCCCGGGATCGAGTCCCACAT